GATTCTATGATTGTATGATTCTATGAAATAAACAAGCTGAAGATACAGTCAGCCAGGGCTAGGCTGGAACTGTATCTCTGCATGACCATATTGCTCAATGCCCTTCCCATGGGAAGGGACAGGGATGCAGCGGGCTGCTTAGAATCCCAAGGTCCCCTTCATGGACCTGCCCTGCTGGTATTCCTGCCCCAGTAGGGAATGCTCAGTGGGTACCCTCAGATGCTAAGGGGTTAACAGTGCTTCGACTGTTAAATAAGGATTCAAATATTAATGAGGTGGTCTTTAGAAATCTCAATTTGGCTTCAGCAGTTGCTCTTCAGGACTTTTCCTTGGTTTGTAGGGGTTTGGCTATCTTTTTCTTTAGCATAGCCCTAAATTTTCATGTTAACAGTTCACCCTTCAAAGTAGCACAGATCCATATACGGTTCTAAACCAACTTTATGTTAAAGTTCTATGATGTTAGCAATGACATCTAAATATCTCTCTTTCTGCAGTCTTTACAAGGCTCTCAGCCATCATCTCTAGGAGTAACAAAGATAAACACAGAAAATGTACGTATGTTTGTAAAAGGTTGAATGAATCTCCCTGTTGTCTGATAAGCTAGTTAATGTTGTTTGTTTTCTCTTGTAGGGGGAAATGCCAGATGGTTCACAATTTGTAAGTATCTCGTGTAGACTTATGGCAAATGTGAAGAGTAAAAAAAAATCAAAATAAAACATCTCAGTTATTCATGAAAAAACATGCACAGAACAAGGGAATTGAGAATCTACTGGGAGATGATCATCAGTGAGGTTTTGTAGAGAGAAATCCTCTTTGCTGCTGCTAGTAAAAGTGAGGCTATTTGTTAAATCATATAGAAAACCCAAAAGATAAATGCAGCATCCACAGCCGTAAACAGAGAAATAAAAAGTGAATAAAAACCTGAAGTTTTAAAGGACCAAATCACATAAAAACCCTTTTTTCGAGTAAGCATACTTAGTTTTCTCCGCCTTAGGGAATAACTGCAAATCAAAAGTATTCTGCAGTCATGCCAGATGGCCTTATGTTAATGTGCATATCTCAGAACCTGTCTGGCTACATCTTCCTCTTGCTGACAGATCCATTCTTACCCTGCATACACTTCAGGTTGTTGGATGCAAGAATTGCACCTTAGGGTTAGAACTCGCACCCAGCTAGCATGGAGCATAGACAGAGTGAGTGCTTGTCTTTTTGCAAAAAGCTGTACATGTGGACAGTATCCAGACTGGAGTAAGGACCACGCTCAAACTGAAAAGGGGTTGGAAGCCAGAAATATATAGAAATAGAATTTGTGGAGAAGGTGATGTTGCAGTGAGTGCCATGATTTTAGTTGCCTTTTCACTTGACAGTCTGCCTTCTTCAGTCTTCTTTTCAAAACCAAATAACACACAATATTGTCATTTGCAAGTGGCTTTAACAAAAAAATAAAGGCGAAGTACTTCTCCATTCACTCCTTTTCCCTGATCAAAATAACTTCTAACACAATGAAAAAAAAAGAGGCAAATAAAATACTTACGCTATCTATCATTATGAACTGGTGCCAGGAGGACAGAATACTCAATGACCCTACTTCTAGTACTTATGCAAATATGGGACTACACACCTAGCATGAGTCTTATTCTTTAAAGCATAGCAAGCTTTCAGAGAGGAGAGGTCGGGATGTCTGTATCTGAATAATTACGTGATACAATTTTAAATTACTGCAGGGAGTTTCATGCTTACTTCCCCACCACCACCCTTCTTCCCCTCCTTCCACTATTAGTTGTGGCAGAAGTAGTTGTAAATAATGTTTATTTTGAACCCAAGGTGGTAGTCTAAAGAAAAAACCCAACGCATTGATATGTTTATCTCAGCGTAACTTTTCCACTATAGTATTAGTTTCCCAGAACATGTTGGTAGGAGTAACTTTAGCTATAAGTGCAGATTCGCAATCATAGGCCGAATTTCTTCCTGCCATAGTAAAGCTCAGCTTGTATATTGAAAAAAGTAAGTCACAGTCAAAAATTTTACTGGTGGTGTACTTCCAGGGAGTTCCTTATGTTGGGAAACTTGATACTGCACTTCGTCCAGGATGCACAGTTGCCATTAAAGGAGAAGTGAATAAAAACCCAAAGAGGTAAGTGTTTCTGAATTTTTCTGCGATTTAACTGAGCCACTCTTGAGAATGAGTAGGCTTTTCCATTGCCTCAGTATATCCTTACTCACTTGCAACTTTGCATCTGGAATTACCTGAAACTACAGTGCAGTTTTCTCAGGAACCTGCAGGATACCGCTTTAGAGAGGACTTAAAAGAGCAGCTCCATTGTGAAAAGTGAAAGTAAAACCTGAGTGTCTTACCAACTAAATCTGCATCATTCGCAAAATTGTGTGTCTCTTCAGGGTTTCCATTGTGCAAGGCATGTGAGCACACATATTGTACAAAGACAGCTTTTATTCTAAAGAGATCCAAGAGTAAGGGAACTGGCAGAAGTAGATGGAAAATGAGTGAGTTAGATGAGTTGCTGATGTGCTCAAATGCTGCGTGTTACAACGTTTCTCTGAATACTTCTTCGACGGCCTCCTCGGGGACTGTATAAGCATGAAGGTGCCTAACTGACAACAACTGAGTGATGAAAGCTGGTAGGGGAGTATGAGCTATAATTTTGATAGCAAATTAGGAACAATAGGTTGCAAAGAAGACATTTTCCCAACATGGTTTAAAGGCGGGAGGGGGGAAGGGGAGCGCAACATGGTCAAAATGGAGCTGAGGAAATGTCTGTACTTCAGCATGCCCTTTGCTTAAAGGGTGATTTTGGCTCTGCAGAAACATGCTTAAAAATGAAGCAATTAGTGCAAATGATGAGAAGCATGCTTTTTACACTGTGTGTATGCATTGCACTCCTGCTTCCTCAGAGCACATATCTTCCCTGCAGCTCAACAGAACTCAGAGTTCATATTAATACTGGAACCCAAGGTCTAGAAATCTCATCCACAAAGTTTGAACAGACTTTAAATTGAACAGGATAATTAATACTTAGATAGTAGCATTTGTTTTCCTTCTTTTGGCTTGAAAAGCTTATTAAGCACATTTCAAGTGCTGAATGTACTGTTTATAAGCATGAAGAGGCTTTTGGGTATTAGTTAAAACATTGCAGCTTGTCTGCTCTTTGCGTTTGTGCTTTTAAACATACAGATTTTTACACAGTTTGTAAGTTATTTAATGTCTTTCACTCAGTTCACACAGTTGCAGATGTTCCTTTTTCTCAGTGAAAAAGAGGACTTCACAGCTTGAAAGTGTGGCCGTTGCTATATTTCGTACCTGGACTAAGCAATTCTAGGCTTCTCAAAGGAGGGAAGTAACCTGACAATTGGAGCTAATTTGGGGGGAGGAATATTTCTACTTCAAATGCAGTAAGGTCTTTGCCACAGGTTGAAGCACTCATTTGAATTTGGATGAGTCTTCCCTCTGATCACTCTTCTCCAGAGCTCCCCTTTAGGACCCCGGTGTTGTGGATGTGCCTGAGGTTGCAGAGTATTCATTCAGCCTGGGCAGAGCTACGCTGCCTACAACGTAACACTTTGTATGCATGGTGTCCCACCAATCTTAAATGTATAGAGAGAATCCTCAAACTTTTCCTTAGAGTCTAACCAGTTTGTCGGCAGAAAGAATGTAATGTGTTTAGGTAAAACAAAGCCTCCCACTCTCCACTGTCTGAGTTAAGAGAAAGAGATGGTGGAGCAAGTAGCACCATATGTTTCTGTGAGAAGGCTGCTTCCTAGTGCTGTAGGGGAGCACCACTTGGCCCGCTTGGCTCAATATCTCCTTGCTGAGACATGAAGAGAAAGCTGAGAGTGATGAAGCAGATCTAGCAGGGTCATGTCGTACATTTGCTGCCTCCAGCAAAGGTTTCTGTGCGGAGACAAATGCATGTTAACTGCCTGCTTGGTTCTTCAGGTGAATCACGGCCCTGGCTCCAGAACAATTCTGAGTATTGGCTAAGGGCTTGGTAAATAGCATGGACTACTGCATCATGTTTATAAAACCTTGGTATAGTAAACTTTAAAAAAATATCTTCCAGCTTTGCGATAAATCTGAAATTGAGTGACTCAAAGGACATTGCATTACATCTGAATCCCCGAGTGAAAAATAAAGTTTTTGTAAGAAACTCATACCTTCATGACAGCTGGGGAGAAGAAGAAAAGGAAGTTGCCAACTTCCCTTTCAGTCCTGGGATGTACTTTGAGGTAAGATTAACTGAAACATAGCATCAGACTGGTAATTCTGCCAAAAGGATTAGCAGTGGTGCTTAAATATCATGTCACTAATACAGATTTAAATAAAACTGCCATTCCTGCATTTCAACGTCTTGAGAATATTTAGGATTAAATGGGACCACTGGGAGCAGAGATTTGACTTGGTTTTAATGACAGTTTTCTTTTTTAATAGTTGCAATAGGTTCTCAGAATGAATTTTAATTGAATTGAGTTGGACTTGATAATCCTTATGGGTCCCTTCCAACTTGAGTTATTCCATGATTCTATGAATTTCATTGAAGTTCCACTTTTTTAAATGTTTCTTTTGCATGAAACATTCTTTGTAACAGAAGCAGGGCTTGCCCAAGTCTAGGCTAGGTCATCAGGTTGTTTTTCTTGTCCTACCTGAGCTTAAAACTTAACTGTTTCTCTTCCTGCTTTTCAGCTGATCATTTTCTGTGATGCCCACCAGTTCAAAGTTGCTGTTAATGGTGTTCACACTCTGGAGTACAAGCATCGTTTTAAACAACTTGAAAAGATCAACGTAGTGGAAATCACGGGAGATGTTCAGTTGTTAGATGTGAGGAGCTGGTAGTATCATGGGAGATGTTCAGTTGTTAGATGTGAGGAGCTGGTAGTTCTTTTCAATCAGTACTAAAAGAATTAAACCGCTTCTAATGACAGTGCCTCCTTGTCAAGTACAAACAGGTGCTGACTCACACCGAGCCTGCCTTTATCTATCTAGGCTTCTGCATCTGCCTCTTTGAGTTAGGTGAGTACCAGAACTGCTAACTGCGAGATTAAATCCTCCTCTAGTTTACAGTATCCTGGCAAGCTAAATAAGTGTGTGCTCAGATAAATCTCCTGTATTACTGAACCTAGCAATATGAAAATGCTGCATCATACTGTGTCTAACGATTGCACTTGGTATGTTTAAGTTATGGCATTCCTTGATAGCATACATTCAATACTGTTAAGTAGAAATGAGGCTGAAATAGGATCTGAAGATATGGTTATCCACCCCAAAAGAGACATTGATAATTCATTTAAAATAGAATTATGAAATACAGTCTTCTGCTTCTTAGTTTACATTAGCAACTATAACCTTTTTACTGAGGCTGGATTAAGCAAACAGTTGACCCATCAGTTCTAGCAAAAGGCAAGGAGGAATTTGATCTTAACCTCTCGGTCTGCTGCCGCAGTAGTACCTTCTCTGACACTCATGGTTATTTTACCTCCTGCTTATAAGTGGCTTAAATCAAACATACAGCAGCATTTCTAGCTTTTAGTTTTCCGAAATGAAACAAATTAAAATGATTTAGCTAGTTCCAGTTGCATGAACTTTTGAAAGCTTGTTTGATCTGAAATGGCTCCTAACTGAGTTGAGATTGCTCAGGGACTGAAGTAGATGTTTGTGTTTTTCATTTTTTAATAATGTGTGAACCCAGTTACTGCAGGGAGGGTTTCAGCTGAGGTGAGACTCAGATACTCATCAGTGGAATAGGTAATGAAGCCTTTTTCAGTCTTGTATTAAAATACTATTTATCTGAAACAAGCTGTTCCTATTCAATCAGTTTTCTGTACAAATGTCAGTCTTAATTTTTATACTTTTTAAAAATAAGTTGCTACTGGCTGTCAATACATGCCTGAGGGATGTTCCTATTTATCTTAACAGCTGCTAAAAGAGTGAAGCAATTTCAAGAATAAGGTGTACCCTGAAAGACTGTTAAATTACCAGATTTAATGTATAAAAAGCATAAATAAAAACATTTGTGAACTCTGCTTTTCTCCAAGTGTAGCTAAGTAGCTGTGATCCCTTTTTGGTCTATATTTTGTCTGATTTGCTTATTATCTTACCAGTATCTCCAAGGTGGCACAGTGATCCTGACTGAAGGACCATTTCCACATTGAGGAGTTAGCGATCCACAGACCAGTTAACCTGAGTAGGCCCAGGCCTCCGCTGTGCTGCTGTGGCCTTCAGGACAGTGCTGTGCTGGACGTAGCCCTTGGCCGCAGGATAAACTTAGCTGGCCGATTGTAACAGAGGAGCCGGTAGGCAGCTCACACTCGGTAATGGCAATTACACCACTTGTGTGTCCTTGCCTTTATCTAAGGGAAGTTCTCATGTGAACATCCTTTTTGTTTGACAGCGGACATGAATAATAATTGTTTTCTCTTAAGAAAATCCTGTAAGAGCACGAATGACCACAATGGAGTAACCTTTCTGCAGACGGGATCTGCATGGCATGCTGCACCCTGAACAGAGGCCCATTCCCAGCACCTGATGGGATGTAAGATTATCCTCTTTACAGTGTTAATTCTAACCAGTTGCATTTTAAACCATACTTTACAGAGTCCAAGTGCCCTTCTTACTAGCAGTGTAATGAACTAGCACCTTCTGGTGCAAAACAGGTGGTGAGTTTTCTGGTAAATTCATTAACATGGCAAGCAATTTATTCTTGGATCTTCAGGTGAACAAGCAGCTAATCAGTAGTAGTCTTTGAAGACTAAAAACCAGCTTTAGCTCCTATATGAATTCTAGTTTCTTATAACTTCCTTTTCAGTATCTTCAGTGGGTTTACTTTTTACTTCCCTAAAAATGATAGAAAAGCAGATTCTCAGGATTGCAGTGCTTGGGACCAGTGAGTACCATGCTTACATTGTAGCACGACAGCTCCTCCACAGGGACAGTAACTCCATACCCCAAGCACAGTGGAATTCAGAGTGTCTCACATGTTGTCACTCCTTTTCTGCCCAGCTATCAGAACTTGCTTATAGCTTGCTCCAGTTTCCCACTGTTAAGAAAAGAGCAGTTAAGGAAAAGTCTTACGAAAAGTCCCCAGACCATCCAGAAATGATAAAGCCAGATTCTTACAATATTTTATTAAAAAGTTAAGATCTTAGCTCTGATAAAAATTAGTACGACAGTTTGCCTGTAACACTTGCATGTGTGAAGCTAACGTGATTCAGATGGAATTTGATAAACTTAGAAGTAGCTTTGGAGTGGTTCTCCCAAAATGGCTTCCAGTTGTTGAATTGTCTTCTGACACTGCTGTTCAACTTCTTCACATTCATCTAGAAAAAGAAATAAAGCAGGAATTAAGAACAATAGTGATTACAAAGCTACCTAGGAAGGTTTCATCACTTGTCAAGGCTAAAACTGTCTTCAAACACCAGGTATGAAATAATTATTCAAAAATATTTTGGCACTGACTCAAGACTGGCAAATTATTTCTACTGTAACACTGATCTAGAACATGCAACCGGGGAGATGTGCACAGGCTATAACACTGAAGAAACCACTGTAATTTAACTGAACTTTAGGAGTGTGTTGGATACAATCCATTTCAGTTTGCATCCTGCACAGTTTAAGCTACTGTATACCAATTTGTAAGATTTATAGCAATTATAGCAATCATCCTGTCTGAATCTTTGAAATAAGTGGCCCTTACTCTTTTTTGGTCATAGGCCAGTTGTCTGCCTTCACTAATGCCACTTTAGAACATTACCTTCCATGAGCTCAGCTAAGAATGGAATAGATTCTGGTAGCAGGACCAGGTAGTTCTCCTTCAGTTTTTGTGCAACTTCTACCAAAGCAAGCAGAGCAGCAAATCGGACCTAAACCAAAACAATAATCTTTGTAAGGAAACAAACATTACAGTATAGTTCCCTGTTTTCTCCCCGTCTTTTTTCCTACTGAATGGAACTATTTTTAAGCTACTTTAAATCTCAACATCTGGGTTAAGATAACGTCAAAGGCAAAATAGGTTGCAAGAAGCAGGTATGTTGCTGGAAGTTATTTGATATAATGGTCTTTAACTTCCTGTTACAATGCCACTCTGTTCCACTGTATCAGAAGGACTTAGCTCAGTACAATGAAAAACCAAATACTCCCCCTGAATACATATAACCTGTCAAATAGGAGAGTCTTGACAAAACTATGTAATAAACAGGTCTGAAAGTTGATAAATAACCATCTTACAGTTCCCCCTCTAAAATGCTCCTTTCTTCATATACAAACAGGTTAGCTCTTATTCCAACAGCTACCAAATCTTTAAAAAACCCAAACCACCCAGTATGGAAGACATCTACACGTGCAATATGGACTGCTTACAGTCAGAGCAGAAGGCCATGTTGTATACATTTCTCTAGAACTTGGCAGTAGCATAGTACAATACCAGTATTTTAATTTAGGCTAGTATTTTAGCAATGACTTGGCTAATCCACTTCTGGTTTTTGGGGCACTGTTCCCATTTTCTAATGGAACAAAGAAAACCAGTTCAAATTCTGATAGCTCCCAATCTTTCCTTTCCTGGAAATTCTCATCTCCTCCAAGCATATTTTCTAGCTGTGGAAGTAAAAACCTTGTCAAACAGATCCAGGCTCAGATAAACCCAGCCAAAAGCACTCCTCCTAGCTTTGGCTTTCAGGTACTCAAGAGTTGCGTCGAAGAGCATCAGGGGGAGTGCACTGGTCTGCAAGAACTCAACAACATGCATGAACCTTATGTTCCTGGAAATTCTCATCTCCTCCAAGCATATTTTCTAGCTGTGGAAGTAAAAACCTTGTCAAACAGATCCAGGCTCAGATAAACCCAGCCAAAAGCACTCCTCCTAGCTTTGGCTTTCAGGTACTCAAGAGTTGCGTCGAAGAGCATCAGGGGGAGTGCACTGGTCTGCAAGAACTCAACAACATGCATGAACCTTATGGAATGAAGACATTTAGAAAGAGGATAAAAAAATTGGTAATTCTGAGCCTTAGGCAAAGCAGTCTATGTAGCCCAAAGACAATGAATTAATTCCTCCCGTTTTGTTAAGGGAGAGGATTAAGGCCTGATAGTTAAAAAAAGAAATCTTTCAGATGGGAAAAAAAAAAAGTCAGATATGAATTGGTTTTTTGTGTTTGTCAATACCTGATCGACCAGAGGCATCATCAAGGTTTCTGCTCTTTCCTTACTCAGAAACTTCTGGGTGTCAAATAGGAAGAGCTTGTGCAGACAGTCCATGGTGAACTGCAACAGGAGACAGCTCTTTTCTGTGCTATTCTCAGAGTCAAAGAAAGCTTCATCTACGTATCAATCAAGAAGAAAAAAAAAATAATTAAAAAAAAAATACAAAACTTCTCCACAACAATAGAAACATTGTTAGTTTGTGAATATAGCTAAAGGATGTACTACATAGCAATTACGTACTCATCACTCAGAACAATAAAGTGGATGCAGTATGTTATCTGGCTTTTAGCTAATGCCCTAGCAGGTCTGCCACTGCCGTTCACAGTCAGCTGGGGATAAAAGAGAATAGCCGCAGGCTATAGGAAAAGTGCTTGGCCATACCTGTGGATATAGAAAATTTCTTCAGGTCACTGTAAATGGGATGGGCAAATAGTTTCCCATACAAAAAAGTTAATACCTATTTTTGCCAAGAAAGCAGAGGAGTCTGAATACACCAGGTAAGATATAAGAGAAGTCAATGAATGAAAAAGAAAAAAAGAAAAAAACCCCAAACAGAAACAAGTCACTCTCTTTCCACACAATTTCATTCTCATGGAACTCACTGGGACTGACATTGAAAATTTTCATGTGGTCTCAACTTTGTA